TAACAGGAACTGGAGACCATGTCTTCCAACTCCAGCTGTGTTTTCTGAGTCTACTCTGTGCCAGGTACTGAGAGGGGTGCTTTTTAACACGCCAGCTCTTGCCATGTATTTGCCTCTTATCAGTTGAGGATACTGAGGACACAGTTAAGACCAAACTATAAAGAGTGGTGGAACCAGGGCAGGAGAGAAGTCGGGCTGGCTCCGGAGCTGGCACTCTGCAGTGACTCCCGCCCTCTGGATGGGATGTACATGACCCCACACCACCCTGGCTGGCTGGGAGTGCTACAGGCTGGCACTTACTGGGACCTGTGAGGGAATCAGAGATGAATGTCTCTCACTTCTGTCTGAGAAAAGCTCACAGCTTTGTGGAGAATATCAATTAAGCACATACAAAACTTCAAGAAAAGGTGCTTGGGGGTACAGAGGGAGGGAGCCCTTCTGGCTGGAGGTGCTGTTTGGAGGTGAGTCTTGGAGGACAGTAGGCTTTGGGGCGTATGGATGGGCAGATGGGTTGGGGAGGAGCAAGTGGAGAAGCAGATATTGGGAACTCCCAAGTACATCCAATTAACTAGCGACTGTGTGCAGAAGATTTGTGGAAAGTGAGAAGGGAAAGGGCATTTGGAGTCTGTTTGCAGGGAACTGGGAATAGGAAGCTAAAGACTTTGAACTTTGATTCTCTAGGTAACAGGGAGCCACGAGAGTCATGTTGTTTCTGACTTTTTGCAATGCTTCTTGAAATTAATGTTTTTACTTTGAGATCATTGAAGATTCAAGTGAAATTGTAAGAAATACTACAGAGAGATCCCAAGTAACTTTTACTCAGTTTCCCTCGATGGTAATATCTTGCCAAGCTGTAGTCAGATTCACAAGCAGGGTCGTAACACTGATACAACCCCCTGCTCTTATTAGATTTCCGCAGCTTTACTTGTACTCATTTGCGTGTGTATTTAATTCTATGGAATTTCAGCATATGTGTAAACAGTAAATTGACAACCACAGTCAAGATATAGAACAGCTCCATCACCATGAAACCTCTCATGCTGCCCTTTACAACCACACCCACCTTCCTCCCATGCCCCTTCCTCATCCCCAACCCCTCCGACTAATACCATTTCTATAATTTTATTTCAAGAATGTTACATAAATGGAATCATATGGCATATGATCTTTTGTGATTGGCTTTTTGCACTCACCGTAATTTTCCTGAGATTTATCTACGTGGTTGCGTGTATCGACAGTTCTTTTTCTTTGAGTGGTGTTCCATGATGTAGATGTGCCCTAGTTTAACCAGGCACCGCTAAAAGACAGCTGGTTGTTTTCAGCGTTTGGCTACTATGAATTAAGCTGCTGTAAATATTTGTGTACAAAATTCACACATAAAGTCATGTGCGTTTTGTGTGAATGTAAGTTCTCATTTCTCTGGGATAAATACCTAGGAGTGTGATTGCTGGGTTGTATGTTTCGTTTTATAACACACTGCCAAACTGCCTTCCAGAGTGGCTGTACCATTTTGTACACCCACCAGCAGTGTGCGGGTGAGCCAGTTGCCCTACGTCCTCATCAGCTTTTAGTGTTATCACCATTTTTTATTGTAGCTATTTTGATACAGGTGTGGCACTATCTCATTGTGCTTTTAATTTGTATTTTCCTGTGGACATAGAACCTAAGCCCCAGGAAATCCCACCTGGAGGCAGGTTCTGAAGTTTCTTATAACGGAAGGATTAGTTGGACTTTTCTCCGAATGGACAAAAATTGGGTTTTGTGCAAGACAAATGTTTCCCGAGCAAAGTGGATGAGATACCGGCGCCAGTGGTGGCGAGGATCCTAACTGGTCCTTGTGCAACGAAGTGAAGGCGCTGAGCTGAGCCTTGGGAAGGGCTAAGCCACCGGCGGCAAAGGGCATGGAAGTGGCGAGGGCTGAAGTAGCTGCGAGACGGCCTGCACAGAACTAAAGCGCAAATCCTGTAGGCATCCCCTCCTGAATGGACCAGTGCCTGTGATCGCAGGCCCTCCCCGCACCCCGGGCTGTGGGTACAGCCCCTCTGGTGTGCAGGACGCTGGACTGACAGTGGGCGGCGCGTCTGGGCTCGCCAGCCCCGCGCAGCCGGGTCCCCAACTCTGCGTACTGCGCAAGCGGAGTGTCCTAGCCCACGCCCCCGCTCTGGCACTGCAGTCCGAGCGAGCCCAGCAGCTGGAGCATTTCTCCCCGAGCCTCTGAGCGCGCTGGTTGTGCCCGGCTGCGCTCCGGCGGCTGCTCCGACTGCACGATCGGAGGAGCGGATTGGCCGCCAGCACACCGGCTGCCCGCCTTGGAGGGAGGTAAGACTGTGTTCCGCCTTTTTCGGGCACTCGAATGCGAGGTGTGGAGGGCGAACCAGCATGCGCTGCTGCAGGTGGGAACCGGCAGGGGTGATGTCCCAGACATCCCGGGACAGTTGCTGCAGGTAATAGGAGGTCTCTATTGGCGCCATGAGCCCAGCACCCTGGCCCTGCTGCTCCCTGGGCGCCCTTGCTGTCCCGGTGATCGCACCTGGATCGCGGTCTCCGCGGCGTCCAACCCTCGCCCGCGGTAACGGATCGTGTCGGAGATGGCGATAATTTTTAATACCGAAGGAGAGAAAGTAACAAGGGCTTATTGAGGGGAGAGGTTTTGGAACATCGCTCAGATGTGTATGTTCTAAGGATTGGCAAACTGTGCATTATTACAGCCTCTCATTTTGTAGCTAGGGAGTGGAGTCTTATGGGGTGAAAGAAAATGGGTGTGACACCCTCGGGAAGGGCACGGTCAAGGTGTCGTTGGAAGAGGTGCTGAGCGGACTCCCCTCCTCCCCGCGCGCGCAGCCTGCCGTGGGTGCCTGGGCTGGGCAGTGAGCCTGGCTCTGCCTCAGACCGGGGATGCAGTTGGGGAGCGAGTTAGCACCCTCCCCAGCGTCCCCGGGGAGCAACTGGCAGGGCAGACCTCGGAGAACGTTCCAGGTTAGAGCTCCCATCTCACTCTCCCCTTCTTCCTCCCCAGGCTTCCCTCACTGCTGGCTCAGTGCCGGAGACGTTGTGCGCGCGTCTCCCCGCCAATTCCCGACCATGGGCAACTCCTGCTTCGTCTTTAAGGAGCGGCTGATGCGGCGGCTGCGGCCTCTGCCCACCCTGCTTGTCATCCGCGCCTTCGTGCCGCAGCTGAGGGGCAAAGGTGACCGCGTGGTGGTCCTCGGCCCCGCCGGCGTGGGCAAGAGCGCGCTGGTGCAGAGGTGGGTGCGCGGCAACTTTCGGGATATCTATCTGCCAACCATCGAAGATACCTACCGCCAGGTGTTGGGCTGCAACCACAGCATGGGCGTCCTGCACATCACTGACACCACTGGTGGCCACCGCTATCCCGGCCTGCAGCGCCTCGCCATTGCCAGGGGCGACGCCTTCATCCTCGTCTACTCGGTCACCAAGAAGCAAACCCTGGAGGAGCTGAAGCCGTTCTACGAGCTGATCCGCGAGATCAAAGGCAGCAGCTTCCACAAGTACCCTATCGTGCTGGTGGGCAACAAATGCGACGAGAGCCGCCGCGAGGTGACGGCGAAGGATGGCGCTGCCCGCGCGTTGGAGTGGAATTGCGCCTTCATGGAGACCTCCGCCAAGACGGGCGTCAACGTGCAGGAGCTGTTTCTCATGCTGCTGAGCCACGAGAAGAAGCCCGCCGCCTGCTTCCAGCTTCCCCACAGGAGATCCCACCTGCCCAAGAGCGCTGAGAAGCTGCTTGGGAAGTGCAACGTCATGTAAGCCCCGAGGCCGTAGCCCGACCGTCTGCTACAGCGCACACAGCGCATGCGCCAACCCCAGTGTAACCTTTCACCTGCCTGTGACTGACTCTCGTGCCGTGCCGTGGTTTGAGTTGTAACAATTAGATGTCAATAAATGTCCCTTGTACGTTAACTTTTCTTTTTCCCAGGCAACAGAATTCAGATTGTTAAAGCATTGCCGTTGGAGGAGGAGGAAAAGAAGGAGCCGGATGAATTTAAGAATAATACTTGGACCGACTTGAGAGATTAATGTTTGAAAAAGATGGACTGAAAGATGCCCCACCCCTTCTCGTAATCCTGTTATCATGTATTGTTTAAACATTTCAAGTCCTCTAAATGTCTAATCCTATCTTTCCAGTGCGTATTTACTGTTAAGAAACGTGTTTTTGCAACGAAAGCTTTGACAGATGACTGTGAGACGGATATTCTAAATGAGATAAATAAATGAATATTCTATAGCTGAGCGCTGAGGGTGGGGGCAGAGAAAATTGTGACGGTGGAGCTTGCTTAATAAAGATGTGCCGCTTGTTTCCTAAGTCGTTTAAAAATGTTTGGGTATTCCATGTAGCCGTCTTTAAAAAGTGTAACAGTTCTGTGACTTTAATAAAGCTTTTCCTGCATGAAATCAGCTGTAATAATTTCTTTTTCAAGGGACGATTGAAAAAATTGCCCATTACATTACGATTTCAATCACGTCAGGTTAAGGTTTCTAATGAGAATTCACACACAGAAGCGCCTCGCTTCGTGGAATTAGCCTGGGAGCGGGGAGGTAAGGGGTCCCTGCAATGCAGAACCTTTCCTGGACTGACGTCCACGAGAACTCCAGGCGTCTTGGAAGAGGATGCTCGCCCTGTTGCTGTCTTGGAGGCAGCTGGGGAAAAGCAAACTCAGCCTCTGGCTGCCTCGAAAGTCTCCCCTCATGAAGACTGGCTGTAGGGAGTGGGGAGGGCAACGGAAAGAAGGGGAGAAACGGGTGGGATTGGAAACTTGAGAAGTTCCTTCTTAAGGGAGTTTTTAAAAAGATTGATTTTATATTTGAACATAATTTTTTGAGTGAGGGAATACATCTCTATACATGTCCTTTTGAGTATTTAATTGGGGAGGAGGGGGCAGGCTTTTAATCTGGTGATTTTTTTCATAAAATATTTATAATTGAACAAATATTTGTTAAAAAATTCATATGGGATTTTAAAATGATTTCTTATAGCTTGATTCCCAGGGAAGAAGCAGACTGCTGAGAAGGAATCATAAACATCTATTTCATAGAAGTACAGTCAGAGTTCTGAGCTTAGAAAATCTATTCCTTTTAAATAGTCAGTTATTTAAGGTTTTCCCTATTCACTTTCAAAGAATTATTCTCAACCACTGGAAACTACCTAAGCGTTCTCCCATATTGCTTTTTATTTATTCTTTTTTTAAAAAAATAGTTCTTTGCTAAAGTCCCGAATGAAGTAATTCTATTTCTAAAAGAGAATACTCCATTTGGCTATTTTCCAGGAGAATTCTCCTTGAAAAATGTATTGCATTCACTGTGGTTCCTTGTAGCTGAGCAAAGGAGTTACTAAGTGGCCAATACTACCCTTTAGAAAGGGGAGGACATTTTTTTAATGTTGCAAGTAATGCTTAGAAAAAATACTTTCAGAATATAGCAAATATTTATATAGTCTGTCTACATGCCAAAGTTTCTATATCACAGTAGAGCAAACATTTATAGACTCTTTCTACATGCCAGCATTCTACATTATGTCATTTAATCCTCACAACTACCCAGTGAAGTGGATACTGTTGTGCCCATTTTGCTGATGGGAACACTGATAAAGGTCAGAAAATCAATAAGTGGCAGAGCCAATATTTGAAGCTAGGTGTCCTGTTCCAGAGTTGGTGCTCTTAACCACCATGGTGTGCTTCCTTCTCAAGATGACTAGTCAAAAGCTGAACGAGATGACTTCTCTGTTCTCTATTTGTATTTTTTTCCCGCATTTTACAGATGTGGAAAAGGAAGCTCCTTCAGAGCCCCCTTGGAATACAGATGGGAGGCCAGGAAGCAAATCAACAATGACAACTTGCGTGAGGTTGTGCAGAAACAGGAGAGAAGCACTTTACACCAGGAACTGGAAAACTCTTCCCCGAAGAGATCGCATGGCTGGAATGCCTTCGGCCTAGCAGGAGTGGGTTTAGGTGGAGTGGGTGTGAGTGAGGGAAGGAGAGGAAGACAGTGCAGGCAGACACAGCAGTGTGAACAAAGGTCTGCACAAAGTGTGGGCTCAGAGGTCACAGCAGGTTTCCAGAAACGGATGGAGGAAATGGTGGAAGATGAGCCTGAAAAGTGAGAGTTTAGAATTCATTCTTCAGAGGTACTGGGGGATTAGTAAAGACAGTAAGCAGACTTGATTATATTTGCATTTTTAAAAAATCACTCTAGAGCCTCTGTGGAAGAGGCACTGGAAAGAGGCAGGTAAACAAATTTACAAACTATTAGAATAGTCCAGGAATGAGATTTTGAGTAAACGCTCTAGGCTTTGCCAGAGGGAATGGAGATGCATGGATGGACTTGAGATCTACCTGTAGGGAGAATGGCCAGAGCTTGGTGACGTGTGGGAGTTTGGAGGAGAGGAAGAAACTAACATGAATGCCACATCTCTGAGTGGGATCCCTGGGTAGGTTATAAGGTCATTAACCAAGTTCAGAAATCCAGGAAGAAAAGCCAATTTGGGAGAACATCTATTTTCACATGGACGTGAGGATCATGAGTTACATTTTGGATAACAGTTGCTGGGACAGCCAGGTGGAGGTTTCCAATAGGAGCTAGTCGGGGATTAAGGGCTGGAGACAATGATTTGTAGTTTTCAGCATACACAGTCGTCCTTTGGTGTCAGCGGAGGATTGGGTCCAGGACACCCGGCAGATGACAAGATTTGTGGATGCTCAAATCCCTTAGTCAGCCCTCCTGGTATCTGTGGGTTCCACATTCTGGGATACGGAGGAGGGCCAAGTGTAGCCAGTGGTGAGGCTGTGGAGGGAGACAATCAGAGCAATGTAAAAGGATTCAGGACAGAATTCTGAGGAACACAGCAGTTGGAAAGCTACTCGCCCATAGGAAATTGTGAAGGGCACTTAGAAGTGACCAAGAGATAGGAGGAAACTCATAAAGTGCAGTAGTAAACGCTGAGGGAGAAATGAGCTTCAAGGAAAAGCATGTACTCTAGCAAAGCAAAACTTGTTTAAAAACAGAATAAGATAAGGATTTGAAAGTGTTGCTCAGATTTAGCGGTTAGGAAATGTGTGGTTCCAGCCAAGATAGAGTAGCCCATTGCTCCCAGGTCCTCCTTCTTACAACTAAAGTAACCCTGGACATGACACAAGAAAGGAGCAGAGGACATCCTTCAAGGTGGAAAGTAGCGGGCTGCCTGGAGCCTGGAGGTGTGAGGATGACATGATGGCGATTTCCCTGAGCCTCCTCATTGTCCCCCATCCATCTTGGACAGGACAGTGCTGAAGACTCCAGGTTAGAACTGCCCACAGGCACAGACCAAAAAAAGCACCTTCCCCCCAGCCAAGGGACCGGAAGAGGGTGGTTTCATAACAGAAAACCTTTCGGGCAATACACACCCTAATCCAGACAAACAGCCACAGCAAAACCCCTGCTCTTCTTCCTCCCCACAAAGGGAGCCGGTCTTCTACCCCACTGTACCCTGCCCCGTGGAAGCAGATGGTGGTGATGTCCCCTCCTGGCGCTGGACCACCGGCAGAGCAGGGAGCTGATCCAGTCCAGAGCAGGCAGCTTCCCCCCAGCCCTTCCCCGCTGGCAGGGTGATGTCGGTGGGCTGAGCAGGGAGCTGACGCTCTCAGGCCCCGTCCAGGGTCAGGTCAGCAGGTGCATGGCAGGGAGCTGAGCCCCTCTCTGCACCTGTCAGCAATGAGGCTGAGTGAGGTGGTGCCAAGCAGAGGCCTCGGCGCTCTAGTCCTCCCCCCAACCCCGCCACCTCCACGGGGCTCAGCTCCCTGGACCATAATACTAAAGTTTGAGACAAGATGATCTCTTCGGTCTCTTCCCCGAAAAATCCTAAATGAGAGAGAAACTCTACATCATTACTGCTTGCATGGGAGCAGGGAGGAGATAAGTCATTCCCACCACTCTTTGAGCAGGAACCCCTAGCTCCTGTTTTTGCACTATCCAACATAGTGTCTTCTGCCCACAGGTGACATGTGCACTGAAGTGGGGCCAGCCCACAGTGTGGTGTCTTGCAAGTGTGCAATGCACTCGATTTACTGTGAAAAGAATGAATGTAGAATATCTTGTAGTTTTTTATGTTTACTAAAGGTTGAAATGATAATATTTTAGATATAGGGGGTTAAATGAAATATGTTGTTTAAATTAATTTGGCGTTTCTTTTTATTTTTTTAAATGCACTACCAGAAAATTTTAGGTTATGTTTGAGGCTCACCTTTGTGGCTTTCACTATATTCCTATTAGGCACTGCTGATCTATATTAAGAGTGACTATTGGAACTATTTTCTAATTTAAATTTGATTATATACATGAGCCAGGATCAACAATCAAGTGTTGAAAAACATTAGCTTATATTTAAAGTAACATGTGTTGTCAGATGTCTGAGTAACTTCACAAAATTCAAGATTATCAGAAATGTGACAAAATCCACTGAGAGGTATGTTTGCATATAAATGAATTTGAATAGTACATCTATAAGCTACATCTGTAAACCTAGGCCCACAGGCCCAGAGCTTGGAAAAATAAACACGTCAGACAGCGAATTCAGGAGTCGGTGAGGATTAAAATAAATGAAAAATGAAAATATGCCCACTGCACTGATATGATGTTTTTCCAAGCCACTGATACTGACAGAACTGCCATCTGTTTGACAGTGAGAAGAAAACAGTGGACGAAGGAAACCTGGTGTGGAGATAAATACAGTTTCATAAACCGAGATTTAATACGTTTAACTGTTTAATGCCAGAATCGTGGGTGTATGTGGGTACGTTCATAGATGCTCCTCTGTTTTGTCCTGCAGGTTAATGGATGAGGCCTGGAAAAGATCTCACAGACTCGGAATAGCATTAGGATCCCCCATGTTCTGCCCCCACTTTCCCTTTCCCGTGAGCACGTCACACCTGGGCCTCTTCCCCCAGCAGCCTGGACAGTTTGCTGTCCCCACAGACTTCCCGTGCAGTTATCCCTTTGCTGTTTCTTCACACAAGGTACTTTTTCTTCCATTTTCTGCCTATTGGAGTTTTGTTCCCCCTTTAAGACCCAGCCCAAATACCAAAAAGCGCTCCCGCTGAAGCCTTCCTTCTTCTCAGGAACCAGGCACAATGTGATCAAGAGGCGGCAATGTGCTGGCCCTGTACCAAGCCCCGCGGTACACAGTCCTTGCTTTCGAGAAGCTCCTAATCTAACCAGGGAGACAGGGAAGAAAATAAAAATTCACAGCTCACTGTGATGGGTGCCGTAAGATGGATCCATTCCCCACCTGCTGTCATGCTGACCTTTCAAAACTGCAATGTGATTAGACTTCTGCTTTTCCTAAAGTGCATCACTTGCCAGATATTCTGACAAATACGCACAAAACTATGTGGATGAAGATGTGTGTTACAGCATTGTCCGGTCTACCTGGGTGTGAAGCTCATCTCTGCCACTTACTGTGTGTCTGTGGGGCAAGTGCTGAAGTTCTCTGGGCATCATTTTCCTCCAGTGTAGGATGGGGATGACAATAACAGCTTCTCCCCAGGAAGCTTGTAGTAAATGAGTTAATTCACATAAAGTCCTTAGAATAGTGCCTGGTACATTGTAGACAATCCATCAATATTAGCCATTTCTATTATTAACAAAAGACTGGAAATTATCTAAAGGACTATCAATATGGGCTCAGCTACATTAAAATAATGAGGTTTTATGGGCTATTGCACACTATCTCCAAGATTTAGTTTTAAATTCACTCCCATTTGAAGGTTAGAGTGTGTGTGTGTGTGTGTGTGTGTGTGTGTGTGTGTGTATGTGGTTGTATTTGCATAATAGAAAACTCTTCTGGAAGGAGATTCAAGTAATCCCTAATAAACTTTGTCTCTGAGGTGGGGGATGGCAGTTTAGAGGGGAGAGAAGACCCACTTTTCATTTTATAACCTTTACTACAGTTTGAATGATATTACCATGTACATATATTATTTTTCTAATTATTGAAAAAAAAACAGGTAATATCCTTACAAGTCTCAGCAGGAAAGGACAGAGTGGGGACTAGAATCCAAGTTTTCTCCCACCAACCGCAGTGCTTTTTCAATTTTATTCAGTATTCAAGTAACGCCAGTGAGGAACTGTGGTTTAGCTGAAAGAAAAGAACAATACATATGTTGTGCATCTAGTGTACGGCATTTAACAGACGAGGAACAGATAAAGGCCAGGATGCTCGAACAAGAGAGCTCAGGTCACTCGCCGAGACCACTGGAGCTGGAAATCCCCCCAGATCTGGCTGACATCGCCAAGAAGAACACAGAGTCAAAAGATGTGGGTTTAATCCTGTGTCTTTCTTTCATTGCTTTTTTTCTGCTGACAACCTTGTGAGCTGTGCAAATGAAATAAAGTAACGCCTCGCCTGTGAAGGGCTTGTGCACAATGCCCAGCACATGGGAAGTCCTCAACCCCCAAGTTGACCACATTGCTGCTTCTGTCCCCCTTTACCTCTCCTGGATATTTACTCCATGGCTAAAGCAAGCATCGTTCCTCCCAACACCCACTGCCGCTGGATGCCTGGCGATCATGTTCACCTGATATTTGCAGGAGAAGCACATTGAAAACATTCCATTTCTAACAGCGCTGTACTCAGGCGTGGGTGGTAACCAGCCTGCCACATTAATGAGTCTCCTCCTGTCCCCTCCATTTCCTCTGAAAGCTCATGTGGCCTCTTGGTAACAGCCATCATTAATCCAGAGTGGGAGAGAAAGAGAGGTAATCAGAGAGAAATTGCAGTTCTCTATTAGTGTGTTTTTCTCTACAACCTGGAGCTGAACATTGTGAAATGTATTTGTTCCCAGCATAATTGACAAGTGAATTAAGTAGTGCCACCAGGCTGGGCTATTTGAGGACGAGGTAGTTTGTCACATGTTTGGAACTGTTGCTTGAAAATGCCCACCTGAGCGAAAACGCCTCCTGGCCTGCTGGTAGGGGCACTCCTTAAGGTACTAACTTTGATATCAGCTCTGCCGTTCTTAGCTCGCTGGCAGCCTCTGGAAACTTCTGTGGACTGCAGCTTTTTTCATCTTTAAAATGAGAGGATCTCAAACTCAAGCTCCACCGTGGGCAGGTAGGACATCTAAACGACAGTATATGAGATTATGCCCAGTCCATAGGGAGCTGCCTCTACTCAGTTCTGTTGGGAAATGTAGACCAAGTATTATAAAATTTCTGATTTTTATGAGGAATCTAACCATTTTTAAATATTGACCACTAATTACAAGTTGTTTATAAAAAATATTATTTGGGTCTACCTATGACAGGCCTGCCAGCCACCAGTTAGAGACCTCAGGCTAGAGAATATGAAAGGTTCCTTAGTATTCAGAGATAGCGTGACACCTTCATGATGGCCTTGCGGTGTTCACGAGGGCGCTCTGGTGTGGAGGGGCCGCCAGAAGCTCTTGACTGAGCCCCACCTCCACGTGTAGTAGTGCCGGAATTTCTCCTCTCGAAACCCCACTCTCTTTACCTGGAAAATGGCCGTACAACCATCCTCCCCAAGTCCCTGGGCTAGAAGAAGTGTGCCTGAAGCTGCAAATGTAACAGATGGGAGATTATCAGGGTCATTGTGTGAAGATGGAAGATGGCAAGGATTCAGGGTAAAGAAATCGCTGAGGGTTATGGATGAGGAATCCGGACGGGACTCGCTTCAGTGAAGTGTGGTGACAGAGCCTGGACTCTGGGCCAGTCCTCCTGAATCTGAAGTCAGGCTCTCCTGCTTACTGATCACGCGAACCTGGCCAAGTGCCTCTGTTTCCTCACGTGCA